TATATATATATATATATATATATATATATATATATATATATATATATATATATATATATTAAACGAGCTTGCATGCGCAAATAGGAAGGAAACAACAAGAAAAGGGAAGTCAGAAAAAAGAGATAAAGATAAAAGTAGATAAAACATCACTACTTTTTGTAGTACAAATAAAAAAGACATAATTATTGGAGTAACTAGCAATGTAATTCCAAAAGAAACGACTAGAATGTGCAGGGGCGAAGCTAGAGTATAAATTATGAGTTTAGATGAATTCAATAACTTTGGTCCAAACTTGATATTTGTTTCAAGAAATTCATTTAATATATACAAATAACTAATTTAGAACTTAATAACTTTTTTTTAAAAAAAAAATTAAAATTTCGACTCCACCTTTATGCAACATGATTGACAACAATTGAACCCATACACTGCACAATGACAACAACAATCTCAGTAGTCCCCATAACCTTGCAGTGAGGATTTTATGTTTGGACCACTCATACATACATGTCTTTTATAGTCTCACAGAGATTCTCCATTTCGCAAAATAACTAGAAATATATGTAAATTAAATTAGACATACAAAAAGAAATGTTCAGAATGATATGAGACTTGTTCGCTCATCAAGTTAAAAATGAAGGAGTAGTTGTGATCACAACCGTTATTGGATAATCACCTAATAGAAGATATTGCATATTTGATAAATTTACGGGTCCAAAGTTACTTGGACTGAACATTGTATGAAAATGGTCTTTTGATGACTCCTAATGCAGGGGAAGAAGGCAGTTTGACTCTAATTTAGTGTACAATGTGTTAGTTCGAAGCTGAGTTAAGATGATAGCTTGAACTTGATATGAAGTTTTGTTAATTTAATAAACTTATCGATCTAACAAGGAACCAAATCCTTGTTATTGGAACTGCTGACAATGACATGAATGATAAACTCAGTGTGAGGTATATTTGTGTGCTATCATCAAAAATGGGGAAAATATTATATTCTAGGCGTTTTGATGATCCTCATAAATGTGGGGACCTGTCCCTCGCAGAGTGCTCTCGTCCAGATATAAATGGGGTACAGTCGTAAAAGCAATCAAATCAGGTGGTAGGTGAAAAGTGCAATATCATACACCAATAAGAAGAGCGGACGAGATTGTATGTTTCAGTATCTCACAAATGCAGGGATCTGGTACCAGACAGAGTTTCCTCCATCAGATACATAATTGGTTACAACTGTTGAGCTGTCACGTCAAAGGTTGGTGAGGCGTCAGTGTACTACACCAATCAGAATGGAGGAGAGTGTTTATCCAACGGATAACAAATCTTCATGTTTGATACTTTTAGCATGACAAACACCATATTATATTCATTCATCCAAAGAAGAAAGTCAGCCAACAAGCCTTTTCAAGAACTCACAAAGAAGTTTGCAAGGGACCTGGTCCCCGTAAGACTGCGACGTGAAAAGGTGAAAAGACAGTTGTTAGAAAAGCTGCCACCTCTGATGCGGTAGGTGCACAACTTTTCCAACAGCAGGCCTTTCAAACACAAATTCAAGTTTTGGCAAACAAAGTTTTGGGTTTCAGAAAATTCAAAAGCTCAAAAAGCAACGGTCATCTTCAAGAAGTGTCAGACAACAAGGATCTGATAGAATTACAAGCTATATAATTGTCTCAGGATTATATATTTCGTGCTTACATTGTAAATTTGTTCCTAATCTATAAAGGATTTAGATATTTGTTTTGGGTTTGTAAAATTCTAAATCAGTTAAGGTTGACTGATTTAGTGGGTAACATTATTTTGTTGCTTAGTCAAATTCTAAGTCATCTAGAGTTAGGTTGTTTAGTGGGCGGTGTGGTATCCACTTGTTAGGACCGGAAATAAGCAGATGTAAACGCGGAAGCTAGCAAAGCAAACCTCGAAACACCACGAGTAAGAAGACAACGAGAAATATACCAAAAGACACAAAGATTTTACGTGGTTCGGTCAATCGACCTACCCCCACAAAGGAGATGAGCAATCCACTATAAACATGAGAGTACAAAATACAGAGGGAAACAACCTCAACCAATTCACTCAGAATACATGAGAGGTTCACAAATTCTCCCTCTAACCAAAACTCTCAAAGCCCTTAAAACTACATTGTGAATGCTAATTAAGTTAGAAGGAACATGCCTCTATTTATAGAGTCCTAAACCTTTTCCTACCAAAAAAAAGAATAGTCAATTCAAAACCTTTTCCTAAAAGGAAAACCTATTTATGGTAAGAAATCAGGGCAAATAAAACCCAACAGTTTAGTGGGCGGTGTGGTATCCGCTTAGCAAATTCTAAATCATCCGGAGCGTGGTGGTTTAGTGGGCGGTGTGATATCCGCTTAGCAAATTCTAAATCATCCGGAGCGTGGTGATTTAGTGGGCGGTGTTGTGTCCGCTTAGGCTCTTCAAGTTATAGGTAGATTACTTGATAGTGAGATTAATAACTTTTTCTCATATTGGTTGTAATCGGGTTTCACTTTTGCTTGAGAAGATTAGTAAAGACGGTTGTAAATCCTGTGCAACAGATCGTGGTTTTACTCCCTTTAGCAAGAAGGTTTCCATGTGAAATCAACGTGCAAATTTTAGTTACAGCCATTTACTTTCTGCATTTGTTTCAACTACTGTTCTTGTTGAGTCAAGGGACCTGGTCCGTTCACGTATAGTAGATGCTGACCACTGTCTCTGCTTACATTCTATTCTTACTGTGTCAAGGGACCTGGTCCACTAACTGTTAGTGGGCACATCCATTCCAACACAATGTCAGAAGCAATACCAGCTTATTACAACTAAACAAGTTGATCACACAACACAACTGAAACAAGAAATTATTCATTGTTAAGTCAAGCAATCAAAACATCAGAACCAGAAAGCCCAAATAGTACAAACAAGGAACACTAAAGAGTGTTATTGACAGAAAAAACTCAAGACATCTGATAGGAAATACATCACAACAAACTCGACCGGTCAACTTCAGCTCAAACTCTGTGTCTCTCAGGTGCAAGAATTTCCTTTCTCTGCATTCTTTAGTCCCCTGAATGATAAAACTCTTAAGTTAGTGTTATTAACAATATTTAGGTGAAATAACAGAAGAAGAAAAAAATAAAGTCAAGCAAATATCACCTGATTCCTGAAATGCGGGGGAAGTAACGTCAACTTTGATCCTTCTACCAGTAGGATTCTGTGAAACAATGGTCTACATTTGACTTGAATTTTTCGTCGTCCCACTCCAAATGGCTCCACCATTCTGGTGTTCCTCTTATCACTTTGATGTTGTTGGAGGTTTGAATAGAGAGAGGCAACTTCCTTATTTCATTGCAAGATATCACTTTAAGCTCCTCCAGGTGTTCCCACGGCTCCCCCAACGTTCCTAATTTTGGTAAGTATCTCAACACTAACTTCCGGACTCTTGGAATTTGACTTGCGCTGCATCGATCAAACAACTCTACAAGCTCTTCACAATAGCTAATTGTAATTTCTTCCAAAGGTACAGAGAAACCTACACTAACATTGAACAGACATGTTAAACTGTCACAAATGTTAATGTCCAGTCGGCGTAATTTAGAAAATCTTAGATGACCGAAATCAGAAACACTCTTCAAATTATCTACATAAACAAGGCTGAGATGTTCCAGATTTGGCAAAGGGTCTTCCGCTGATCCGATATCACAAGAACAACTCTCAACATGTAGTGATTTTAATCCGTCAAAACTGTTGTACGCAAACAACTTCCTGAAACCAATGAATTCTTCAAAGTACAAATGTGAAGCAAACTGGAACATGCCTGAAACCACTCTGCTACTGAAAATTTCACACTTGGAGACGATTATTTCCCTTCTCGACTTATTGAATGGTACGTACATTGAAGTTTTCCCAACTTCAATACGAAACCGTTTCAATCTAGTCATCCAGGTGTGGTCTCTATTGAAAATTGATGAGCTATCCGATCTGATATAAAGAGATGTCAGATTGTGTAGAGACGATATCTCATCAAAAGAAGTTGATCCAAGACAGCTACCCGTCATATTTATTATTTCAACGCTAGACAATTTGAGGAAAAATCCTTGGCTGATGCTACTCTCCAAATCCGATTCAGGCATATTTAATAACCTCAGATTCGTCAACTTGTCCATTCCTTGCGGAAGACAACGTAACCTTGTATTGTCACAATCAAGCAATTGCAAATTGCAAAGATTACCAATAGGTGGTAACTCTTTCAGCCCTTTGCAATTCTGTAGTATTAGAGCACGTAGTTGACGTAGACTATTGATGGAACAAGGCAGTGCTCTAATACCAGTTGCACTCAGATTCACAACTCTTAGAGCTGGAAATGACCAGAAGAATTCATTGGGAATTTTCACAAGGGGTTCATTGTCTTGCAAAAGCAAAGACGTTGCCTCTGGGCATTCCGTGAAGCAATCAGGTAGACATTGAATTTTGTTGCTTACGAAAGATATTCTGTTGACAGAAGCTGATACTTTAATATGTGATATCTCAGTCAACCCAATTCCAGCTTGAAAAACACAAGTGTAATCATCCCCAAAGGTATTAGCTATCCATTTAGCAACATCACGAACCACATCGTGCATCTTCACAAAATCCATCTCATGTGTTTCTAGCAAGCAGGCATCCACAAGACTCCTGATTGTTGTGATTCCCCTGTTGTAGGCTTCTTCATATGTGTCATGTTCACCGAGGAACCCCTCTGCCAACCAGCAATTTATGAGATCATCCGTTGGAATATCCAGTGGATATAACGAGCAATACAAGAAACAACTTTTAATGTCACCTCTCTTTTTGTTTCCATGTTTGCTTCTTTGCCCTGAGGATAATTCAATATCCTGAGATTCTAAAGAATCAAAACTTGATTTGATGACCATGTAGACCTTTTTTTCTACGTCTTTGTTATGAGGCTCGGACATTCTAAGTGATTTCAAAGCATCTTTCCAGAGCTCGACCCTTGTCTTGCCTCTCATAGATGTTCCAATAACAGTGATTGCCAAAGGTAAACCGCCACACTCTCTTGCGATTTCCTTTGCCAGTGGCTGAATGCCCTCCAGATTGGCAACATCTCCCGCATTTTTAACAAACAGTCGCCAAGACTCATCCTCCTCCAATGTGGAAACATTCACTTCGGTGTCTGCTCTCGTATTCATTTGCCTACAAACATCCAAAAAACGAGAGGTAACAATTATCTTGCTTCTCGAGGGATCTTCAGGTTGAGGCACACCTACATCATCCAAATCTATAGCTTCCCAAACATCATCCAGTATGAGAAGGAAACATTTTTCTTGCTTGAGCCTTTCATAGATTTCGCAAGCAATGGTTATTAAATTTCCCTCGTTATCCACCTTTAGGTTTAATCTTCTCGCAATTTGTTCTTGAACCTTTCTTATATCTATTGGTGGTTTCGGCACTGTAACCCATATCACAACACCAAAAGAAAGTTTCGAATTTGAAACCTTAATCTTTAGAAGCTCATTGTTCAGATTCTTCACCAATGTTGTTTTCCCAACTCCTCCTGTACCCCACACGCCGATGATGCATACCTGAAAGTAGACAAATACACAAAAAATAATTTACTTACAAGCGAAAGATGCAAAATGGTCATATCACTACATCAAAAACGATCGTTAGCGGCAATTAATTTATAATTATCGCTAAATATGTATTTTTAGCGACAATTGACACTCTTTGTATATGTTCCTAGAGTCTTTAGTAACTAACGCTGGTAAAGACTTTAACACTCTTTATTAAAATTAATATTTATTATCGTTAAAAATTATTTTTGTTGTAGTGTATATATCATACTATGCTTAAAGTGGGAACACTTCAAGAGAAAATGTTTAAAATACCTAAGATCCCGCAAGAAGCAAGGTAATTATTGTTGGAATTTAAAGGTGTGAACATGAAATGAAGTGTTGTGACTCTTTTGAAGAATTGTGACTATGCCGAAGGATTGTGGCCTTTACAAAAGGTTGTTCTTTCTAAAGGGTTGTGACCTTTATAAAAGGTTGTTCTTTCTAAAGGGTTGTGACCATTTGAAAGGTTTGTGTCTTTTTCAAAGTATTGTGGCCTTTTTAAAAAGTTGACTTATTTTCTAAGAGTTGTGACCTTTACCCTCTGTTACTTATAAATAGAGAGGATTTCTTTTATTTTCTGCATCAAATTTTTCTCTCCTCTTGCATACATTTCTTACAAAATAAAATTGATCGATTGTGTCGGTGTGTGATTCGTTGTTGTCAATCTGAGTTCATTGAAATTATGAAAGTTTGAGGTACCACTACATCTTTAATGGTTAATAATCTATTTTATATTGGGAGGAATTAATATGCAACCTCGGACACTTGAGGGGATTAAATTTCTTAAGGGCACAGTGGGTTATGTGGACTCGGATAGTTCTTTGCATTTTTTTTTCATCTTCTATTATTTCTGATTTGTTAATTGAATACGGGAGATAACAAGCTTAAGAAATTTAATATTGATGGTATTTTCTGTGGTAAGAAAATTACTTTTATTTATTGTATTCTTTTTGTGGAGAAAAAAGGGAAATTAGTTCTACTTTAATATGTTCGAATATCCCAAGTTCATTGATGCATTGCACCCTTCAGTTTTCTTTTCAATAAGAAAAAAATTTATGCATAAAAGCTAAAATATGCACTTTAATTATTTTATTCCTATATTATTATTTTTACATAACTATATGAAGAAGTAAATGAACAAATATTGTCTCCTAACAATATTTGAAAATGAGTTTAGTTTCTTGTTGAAATTAAATGTTTTCTTAAGAAAAATAGGAATACAATGGAAACTAAGAAAAGGAAAAAAAAGGTGAGTTGCATGGAATCATTGCTAACAGATAGCATATGATTTAATGAGAGTAAAAGTCGGGTTCTATCTTTATTTTCCATGATTATTATTTTCTTTTTCTATCTTTTATAAGTTATGATAAATGTTAGGATAAATGGTTATTATGCGATGAACTCAAAATATGTCTTTATTATTAATAATAATATGTATTCTGTTTAGAGGAGGAGATTCTTTTTTTTTTAGTTTTCTATTCAATGTAAATTTAATTGTGATTGACTTTTGGAGATTAAAATCTTCTAATTTTTTTACTCCTTTGGTTTGAATATAAGAATTTCACGAACAATTCCGATTGTTCATTGATTTGAAGAATATAGGAACTTCACCAATTTGTTCAATACCATGTTTGAATGAATATTCTGCTCGAAGAGTAAAAAATCTTCGTCAGGAATATTAAGGCTAAATGATTTGAAAAAGATAAAATCTTCATTAGCTAGAAACAGTATTGTATTCGAGGTTTATGGAGATTAAACATTTTGGCTTATTTCTCTGTTTGAATGTAAAACTGATTCGAAGAATATAAAAACTTCATCAGAATTCAAGGTTTATTCGGTTAACGATTAGAAGGACATAAAATCTTCATCGTTAAACAACAAACAAGTTGTATAAAGATTGAATCTTTATTGTTAGTATTCTAAATACTAAGTGGTCTATCTAGTTGTGACAGAAAGGAAAAACAATACTAGTAACATAAAACTAGTGATTTTTTGTGCCTGCAATGGGTTTTTCTATAGATTGATTCTCCAAAAGAAGGCTTCGTGTTGCCAATCTGTATTTTGATGGTACACAATTTGAAAGCATGGAAAAAATATGTGAAAAATAATTTCAAATACTTGAAAAATATTTTTGAGAACGTATTTAAAATGTGGGAGCTCTTTACTTGTGATAAAGACAAAATTAGACTTACTATCTAACTTAAATTTGAAAGTACAAGATATGAAATATAATGACATTCTTGTATTAAGTTAGACCGTCAAAATTGTTGGTGTATATTTGATATTGTGGTCGTTGAGTCTCTATTTACTAGTATATGACATGACTAGTATAAAACCCTCAAAATTATATTACTCTTTCAAAAGAATTGTATTCTTTGATGAAAAAGTGTTACTCAAAATTTTTGTAATTTTTCATGAAAAGACGTGTCTATTAGACATGAACATTGGTGAAAAGTGATTTGTTATGTTTGTGTTGTAAAGTGAACATTTGGATCATATTGTCCTTGTTGGACCAATAACACTATGATCATGGGTAATTCTATAATAAACTGAATGTTATACAAAGTGAAGAACAAAATATTTGTGGGAAAAGGTTACCTCGCAGAAGGTTTTTTCAAGCTTATTATTTTTGTTTGTTCTTACTTAATTGAATTAAATTGTTTGTGACATAAATATTTGGGACATGTCAATTACCAAACTTGCAAAAACTGATTAATTTAGAAGTTTTGCCTAACTTCTAGTGCAATAAATCAAAATGTCAAGTATGTATTGTTGAAAATCAGTTAGATAAAATAAAAATTCATGATTAGAAGTGTCAGATGTGGAGAATATGATCTTTTGCAGAAATACATTTGTAAAAGGGAGGGGGAATCATCCATCAAATTATTGCACATTCTCACCTCAATCTACTTTTGACTATAAAAATGTAACCAGACTCGAATTAATGAAATTCGCAACTATCAAATCATAAAAGATTTAGAATTAAATCTTGTATTACTTCCAACATTACCTTATCATCTTCTAATAGTCGTAGAATTTTGTTGAGATTCCTTCTTGCTATCGACTGGCCTTCTATTGATGGTCCCGGAATGAACTCAACTTTTTTCATCCTGAAATTTTCTACCACCAAATTGGATCCAAACTTTTCTCCAGTCTCTATAAGCCTACAAAGTTTATCTCTAATGTTCCGTGCTTGATTAGAGACTTGTGAGCGAAGGCTGCTTTTTGGACAACATTTATAGGCAAGCTTCTTCGCGTTTTCAATGCTTTCTTGCATAGTTTCCCATTCATACTGTAGCTCGTGAACATCTTCGATCCACTTGACAACATCTAGTTTTGGTTTATAGCCTTCTCCCTCAGCTCCTTCCACCTTTCCTTTGATATCATCTCTAAACTTTGTTATCTTTTCCATTTCCTCCCTTAAATTTTCGACTTTTGATGAGAAACGGACAACATTTTCAATCTTAGGATATATGCATTTCGATACAAACTTTCCCACCTCAACAACAAAACCACCTACAACATTGACAAGTATTTCCATTGAACAATTCTTGAGATAAAGAAAAAGAGAATAATGATATAATTGCTCTCAATTAAACTGACTATGTCTACTTTGTTTATAGCAGAATCTTGAGAGAAGGCAAAAAGAAAAAGAAGGCAAATAGAATAAGTAAAATTGAAGGAAAATACAAATTCTTTAATCAACAAAGCAAAACATATTTGGTCCCCAGCAATACTTTATTCTTGATTGTATTTTTGGTTTACTGAGGTAACACATGAAGAATCTGTTTGGTTCATTTCATACTAAACTTTGAGCGAAAAATTACATTATTTATATATGATTAAAATTATTTTTTGTGTGTGGATATAATATAGGGATAAAATATAATTCGTTATAAAAGTGGCACCTATATACCTATATTATTAATTATATTACACAAATAACATACATATACCGTTTTCCTCTAACGGAAGTGAAAAAAGTTATTTTTATTTTTTTAAAAAAAGAACATTCATATAGGGGCAAATTTGATCTATCTTATACGTACTTTTTTTGACTTTTGTGATTCAACGGTTGATTTATATTTATTAATTTGATAGTCAAATTTATTTTGTCACTAACTTGCTTGTAAAATTTCTCATGTTAGTTTGATGGTCAACTTTATTTTTTCCAAGTTTTTTCTTTCTTTTGCGACTCACACTTTTCCTTATTACATGAATTTTTTAAAAATTATAAATCAAAAATAATTTTAAATTAATTTTTTTTTACTTCTATTAGATAAAAGAGTATATGTGAGTCATTTTTGAGGTGGAGATATATGTGAGTCTTTTTTATAGTGGTACATATCAGCTCTAAATGGTAAAATTGAAGGGTATATTAGACCGTTTTCCCATGATATATAACTTTCTTCATTCTCATTATTATTATTGTTGTTGTTGTTGTTATTATTATTATTATTATTATTATTATAACAATAATAATAATAATAATTTATTATTATTATTATTGTTGTTGTTGTTGTTATATATATATATATATATATATATATATATATAAAAAAAAAAAATAAAGGTTGGCGATATTTTTAGACTAAAAAGGTGGAAAGACAGTATTCTTGAATAAAAAAAAAGGTTGGTGGTATTTTTAGACCATAATGATACTTTTGGGTCATTTTTAATAAATTAGGGATATTTTTGAGCCAAACAAATAAGTTGGGGTATTCTTAAACCAAAATATGAAAGAATCTTATTTATGAGCCTTTTCTTTTTATATAATGACATAGGTTTTCTGAATATTTTTTTGAATTGTTATAGCAAAATGTTGTTGATGAGAAGATATAATATGGCATAGAAAAGAATAGGCATAATTCATAAATTTGTTCTTTAATTTGGTTTTAATTTGCATTTATGTGTTTCAATTTTGGGCATGCGACACTGCAATTTGTATAAAATTAAACAAGAAGACACACATCTTATGTGGCATTATATAATACATTTAAGACGCCACATATGACACCAAATTGTCATGTATGATGATACATAGGATGAATGTTCGCTTTTATATAAGTTTAAGTGCCTACTTGTGCAAAGTCAAAATTGGAAGACGTAAATGTCAGCTAAAGCCAAGTTAAATTCTATATTATGCCAAAAGAATAATCAAGTTTGTAAAACAAACTTTTTTTAATTTTATTTTGCTTATTTTGTATTTACAATATCACTTCACGAGTGAAATTCATCGGGGGTGATCCCTATAAAGGTATGTGAGATCATTTAGTATTGGGTCAGTTCATCCACACACCAAATTTGTTTCAATTCAGTGATTGGTCAGTTGTTTAATATTAATATGTGAAGTTCTTGAAGAACATTGTTGAATTCTTGTTGGTTGAGTTGTTGAATGTCTAGTGTTGATTTGATTCGTGTTTCCGGGTTATTTTTCGAGTTAAATCAATTGGGTATTGATGATACTAATGATCCTAAGTGTTTGGAGAAAGAATCATGGAAGTTTAAAGGGTTTATAAATGAAAAAAATGAAAGAGAAAAGTCGAGAACACCTGGGTACAGGGGTTGGGGCGCCACGCCTCCCATAGCCCCAAAGGAAAATCTCTATCCATAGGGCCTTGGATCCCCGCGCCAGCCAGAGTTACCCAACTTAGCCTCTGAAGTTTGGGGCCTGGCGCCCCACGCCTCTCAGAGCTTCAAGGACGCAAATTCACCTCATTCTTTTCCCACCTTTTCGTACTAGTTCCTAAGTGATATACATATGTTTTCTATTTGATTCTAACACTCTAAGGTACATCTAAACATCATGAAATCATTTAATAAACATGATATCATGAACCTTGAATTCATAATTCAATTCAAGAAAAGTTAAGATCAAAGTCAAAGAAGTTAAGAGTCAAGTCTAGAAGTTAAGAAGCAAGTCAAAACAAAGTTCTTATAGGTTTTGAAGAGTCTTTAACAATGTTTTAACTTTGTTTTAAGACTCAAGTTTCAAGTTAAGTAAAGAGTAAAAAGTTAAGTTCATTTCTCAAAAGTTATAAGGGAACTAATTATTCCCTGAGAGTTGTTTTAAAACTCAAGTTTCAAGCTAAGTAAAGAATAAAATTGTTGAGTTCATTCTCAAAAAGTTATAAAGGAACTAAGTATTCCCTAAGAGTTTATAAATGTTTTCACATTTAATATAAGAGGAAACTGAGATTTCCCAAAAGAATTTTGAGCAAGTAAAGGAAACATTGATTCCAAGAGAGCTTTTAAAGCTAAGTGTTGAGCAATTATCATAACACAGAGAAAGAAGTTGTTTTAGCAACACATGAGCTAACGATATTTTTGGAAGTAGTATTGAGCACCGGTATGAGGATGCGAGTTCATAATAAGTCAAGTCTCCATAAACTATGTAGCTATCATGGATATTAATAGGTCATACTTTTTAGATGATCACATAAGTTAAGCTAGTGAATCCACTAAGTTAAGTAAGGTCCTATACTGATGGCAAGGTATAGGATGGTCCTCGGCACCGTGAGGTAAAACATTGTACCATTACTTAGGCTCACAGTGATGGTTGTCGGTTAGATAATCTCCCACAGAAGTTATTTTAATTTATATGAGTAAAGTTAAATTTTTTATTGTTTTATAATGAATGAAATATATATACTCATTACTATATTTTACTATTACTTTAATTTAATTCTTAATATTTTTTCATTTATTATACTTACTAAAAATGTCTACTTTAATATAAAATTTATTATTTAAAAATATAATTAATTATTTTTACTTTGGCTCTAATTAATATACCTGAAAAGAAATAAGTGAGATAAATTAATAATATATATATTAGATTGAAATTAAACAATAAATAAATAGTTTTAATATTGAAAAATAATATTTTAAAGATGTCAAAATGTAACTTTACAAATAAAATGAATAGGATGGTATATTTACATTTAAAGTAAACTAAAAATGTTTACTAGATTTTTAAAAGGTAGTTCTTCATTAAAATATATAATAATTTTTTTACTTTTATTTGATTTCAAACATATTAATCTGAATAGTGAACTAATGTAAGTTTGATTTAAATTCAAAGTTGACAGGTCAAAATGTGATACTTTTCTATTATGTAGAAATATGAAGTTGAGGACGATCAAGGATACTATGGTCATTTTCATATATATTTCATTTTAAAATTCAATTTTTAAATTTGTCAAAATATTTCTTCAAGTGGCGAAGTTTCCTACATAAGCTACATGACTATTCTAGAAACTCTAAGTTGTAAGATTTTTCTAGAACTAAGTCCATGATACAAGTAAATAGACACTAACACATTCTTCATTTCATTCACTCCAAATCTCTCCCCTCTCATGTCTTATACCAATAAATTTCTCGCCATTAATTTCTAATGTGCATCCTAAAATATACACACTTCGATATAGATCTCTTATTAGGAAGATCAATAATGCAACTTTTTTTTCAACATTAAGAACTTCATTTTTGGTTAATTTCCTACGTAATGATTAACCCTACTATTGTAAAACAATTATAAGACAAAAGTAAAATTCACTATTTCTCAATGTTACTTTAGAAGAAAGTTCTTTCCTTACCATCTTAAATTGTTCTCCTAATTCTAATGAATATAAAGACAAAATATAAAGTCGTTACTTTTTTTATAATCTTTTTATCATTTCGTAAAGAATGAGATGATTTATTCTAATATTTTGTCAATTAAGTCACTATTTTTGTTTGTTACACACCTATAATTTTTTTTATAAGTTTACACAAAACTAATCTATAGATGAGATCAGTACGAAAATTGTTAATATATTACGATTCACAATTATAATCAATTTTATTAAGTGATTTTAAATAAAATAGAAAAAGAATTTCATTAAATTAATTATTTAATTCAAATAAATATATTTGACATAATATTAATCATTGAAGAATCTAATTTATTATTATTATCTCTTATTATATTTATTTGAAAATGTCAAAATAATTTTTCTATTCGAAACTAATTCAATTAGTATTATAAATATATAATGTTGTAATATTGAACCTGTAAATGAACTTTTCATTACGAATTGGTTGATCAATGATTAGTATTTTATCTAATGCAAAGCTTATGCTGCAAATATTACAAAAAGAAGATGATAACATTGTAGAAAATAGATAGCACTTGCAAAAATATACGAAGATCGATAAACTTTTTCAAAGATATCAACATTTTATGTTCCTCGAATGTGAAATGTTTTGACTCATAATCTAACACAATTCTCTATTTCCTTGTTGCATAGAATTTTTTTGAAATTCAACTTTCTCGATTTGGGTTATAAACGATGAATTTATATCGTATGAACATTTGAAAAAGATTATTAAGTAATATATTGAAGTTGTTTACCGTAAAAAAAAGGTATAAAGTATGGAAATATCATATATTTATAGGCTAATTACATTATATCGTAGAAGTTTTCTCAATTACAAAAATCTCAATCTTTTTGTTGCTCTCTAATACATTCCTTGATTGTCTGGTACATTACTAATGATATATATTACTTCATGGGAGGGATATATTCAAGAGGGGATAAAAATATATCCGAGAGGGGTTTATGATATCTTAAGTTGTGAATTTATGTAATTTTTCAAAT